TCGGAGACATGAGTCATCTCCAAGGCATACGAAGACCTTCTGCTTATATTTGAACGAAGGATCCTGAGAGGAATATTTGGTGGCATCTGTGAAAATGGTGTTTGGAGGAGGAGATACAACTACGAGGTATACCACAGATATAAACAAATATTTGGTGGTAAAGACGTAGTATCTCTTATAAGAATAGGAAGACTAAGATGGGCAGGACATCTAGCAAGATCACAGCAGAACAACCCTCCTAGAAGAATCCTTGTCACAACTCGTGGGAAGTAGAAAAAGGGGTAGGCCAAAACTCAGATGGAAGGATGGTGTAGATGAGGATAGTAGAAAGATAGGGGAAGAAAACTGGCAACGGTTGGCAATGGATAGAACTGACTGGCGTAATAGACTTGGGAAGGTCGAGGCTCTTTCATAGGGCTGTAGTACCATTAATGATGATGAAAGAATAAGTAAGTATTGATAGTGTGATTTAGCCCTGAGATATAAAATTTATTTATTTTTGATTTGTTTTGATTAATTAGAGAATTACTTGATTAATTAATTAAAGTAGATTACATCCACAATCCTTAATAGAGTTCAAAATAAAGCACAACAATATATATTATACAGTATTATATTATATATTATATTATTAAATTAGTATTTGTATAAGGGTTTTTGAAAATATATACTTACCGATCATATGGTTTGGTTCCATAAAGATGAGCAAAACTGTTAATAGCAAATGTTGCATGCATGCCAAGCATTAATCGGACCACATTCATTATGAAAGAAGTTGATAATGTTTCTCCCCAGAAGTAATACGGAATAAAAGTGGGTAAAGCCATTGCCAATAAAGGTGCAATAATATTATAATATCTGAAAAACAAAACAGTTTATTAGTTAGGTACACAATTTAACAATCACAATGAAGTTTGAGAATTTTGAGATAGTTTCGAAATTTATTGTTTGATCAATCTCTTATAGCGAGAAAGCGGTTCAGAAAAGTATGAAATTTGCTCACACGATGGCATTTTTTGCCCTTAGTCTTTCTTGACAAAGAAAGACTAAGGACAAAGAAAATCAAAGAAGGTCTGTCCTTAACAAAGACGAAACACGTCATGTCGTAGTGTAAACGAAAACCGACTTTAAGAGAAAAAGACAGGTTTCATGGAACCTTCCACCGTGATAACATGCTCTTCTTTAATTGTGGAAGATAGAGATTTATAGGTCTCGATGTATTCATTCTCTATGTCCCATTTCTTACACTATATTAGTTTAATAGTTTCTAGATCCTTCCAATTATTATTGGTTTTAAATTTTTCCTACTCCCTAATCTTCCTACTTTTTAATCCCCGTCGAATTACAATAGCGCGCTCACTGGACTGCATAATGCCGATCGCCCGAGCTTCTGGCGTGGAGCCCTCTCGGCTGTTCCGCTTTTACTGCCTCCCTGGCCCACTTCGTTCGTTTTTTATGAACCCGTATTCTCAATTACCGAGGTCGAGCCTTTGCTTACTCAGTACTCGTGCTTAAACCGGGTCAGGCAGCGGTGTTATTTTTCAATAAAGGTCTCTGTTTTAAACGTGATTTTTTTCTTTTAAACAATTGTTGCGACCTAAAACTGAACTCGTGTAAAACACTTAAACTATGTCGAATTATTTGTTCCTTATTCAACGTGGAATATTCTAAAATAGGCCCTTCAGAGGCAGGGAGAACCAAAATGAGGTCGTCCCCATCAGGTGTATCATCCTCCCCAACAACTGAGATCACTGACATGGAGACCAACGAACAACCAACAGGAGCCAACCGCACAAATCCGACCATGAGACTCGTGGATCCACCCCCTCTGCGGTGGACTTGACCCTGACGAAAACATCCTGTCGTTTACCAACTCCACCATCCTCCATCCCGGATAGGGAATCATTAACATCTTCCAGCTCTCAGGCATTATTCTCTCAGGCTAGTGTCATAATCGACATGGTCGAGTAAATAAAAGAAACCTCCCTCTTCATGTGACATAAAAGCTAGTGGTATAGACTTCAAATGGCTTCGAACGGGTTAAAAGGACTTAAAATACTGCAGGTAAACAGCGAAAGGACCAAGGTGGCATATGATTTGATACACTTACTACTTTTGGATTATGCTTTCTGTGTTTTCTCAGTGTGCCTATTAAATGTGTATATTTGTTCAGAAGTTTGTGTGCTAAATTCACGCTAGTGTAATAATTATCTGTGCACAAAACGCGACCTGAATGTAAAAGTGGTTCCATAAGCTGTAGCACCACTTTTGTACCAATTGGCTTTTCATTAGGTGATTGTGCTTTTCCTGTATAAATTTTAAAATTGATGTGTAACCTTTCACTCCACATAGTTTAAATAATTTCACACCGTATTTGTGACGCTTCCTCGGTATATATTGGCGAAAGCTCAGTCGTCCTCGAAAAGGAATCATCGTCTCATCTATACACACATTCTTGTCAGAAGTGTATGCTGATTGGAACTTCTTGATTAACAAATTTTGCAAGGAAAGGAGTTTTTTGAGCCTATCATCTGAGGCAATTTCGATATTTGAGAACTGAAAATTGGACAAAAGAAGCTCAAACCTTATCCTGGACATGTGAACAAATTTTCCAATTTCATTTTTGTACAGCATATTGGTGCTAAAATAATATTTCAAAGTGGGTTTACGATCCAAACCCATCCATATTAGTAGACCTAAGAAAACAAAAATTTCGGATTGATTTGTGTTTCTCCATTGTCCCAATAATGCTGTTTTTGTTAATGTTTCATTTGTAACTCCTGATACTATTTTCTGTTCAGCATATCTGTTGGTTTCCTCGGCAATAAGTGATAAGATATCGTTGTCAATAAATAATTTATAAAAATGAATTGGATGATCTCCTTCCCTTTGTGCAAAAAAACTTTGGGAGAATCCTGAATCTTCCGTGAAAGTAAATGTGTTCAAATTACCTACAAAATTATAAACTCAAAACTATAAAAGTGAATACTAATTTATATATTACCTGCACTATTATTCCAAATGACATTAGGATTAGGATTATTTAAAAAATTATCAGGTTCAGAATCGTTGTTGAGAGATTCTAGACCAGATTCGAATTCTAACTCTTGCCCATCACTGTTAATTTCTAAATTAGAGGAAGAAGAACACGAATCTTGATCATTTGGATCATCTATATCCATAGCATCATCATCATCTTCACTAATAAACTCATACTCCATTTCACTCATATTCTCGGCTATTTCACGTAGTTCAGCATCACTTAATTTTTTATTTAACATTTTAAGTACTAATTTTAGAACCGTAAACACACAAGACTAATATTGCACAAACAACAAGTTTCTGCAAGTCAGAAAATGGCCATAATGATGGAAGGAGTCTCAAACTGCTCCGCCATAATTTTAAAAAATCGGTCATAGTACAGCAATCTGTTGATTAAGTCCCAAACAGCTTCGCCAGAATTTAGCAGTAAACTGTAGGAACCTAGATACGCATTTAAAACAATCAGAACTGTGTTCACCAAATGTACACACAGCTTGAAACATTACCATTTCATGTGACCAAATTTGGTACACGCAGTTTTTGGTAAACATCAACTGTGTACCAGAAATGGTACACACAGTAGCCAAAGTGTTAAGGACATAATTTTTTTTGACACTTTTACTTACACAATGCTGGAGTGTAATAGATGGATAGTGGGGAGAAACAGAATATATGGAGCAATGAGTATAAACCCTATTACTGTGAGAGACATGATCGTTGAGATGACGAAAGTAAGGAAAAAGGAATATTGTAAATAATTATATTCGAACAGTAATTAAAAAGAAACAATAAGAAGAAAAATACCCGCCAGAACAACGATACAAATAAGATATACAAAAGAGAATGTAGTGCTTCAAAAGTGTTGTCAGCCTTACAACCGCCATCCCACTTTCGGAGTAGGACAGTGAACTGCGTACAAGTAGGAGAGAGTGGTTTTAGTTAGTAGGCAGGATAAGAGGAAGGCATATGTTTGAAGGACCTTCTTCTCATGAGGGATAATGGGCTCGGATGTGCTCCTCTACCCAGAATTCAACACACGCCAGCTATTCCTAGGGATGGGTTAACTTGACACTCTTTTTAGAAATTTGCACCCCCAGAGAGAAAGAAAAAAAAGTTTGGGTTAGGTTAGGTTAGGTAAGCTCCTGTATAATTATTTCTTACTTTTTTTGTAACATCACTAGTCGATCACCTTCAATATCACTCATATCAATGGTCCTTCCTTTACTTATAACATCGGGATGTTTTTTCATAAAAAACCATCCAATATGAGAAAAGAAGAATCCTCTGTTCGAGTTATGAGGATCAGCATCAGTATCAGTATATTTATGATGTAACCTATGATTCCTCGCCCAAACGTAGATGGTATCCTGGTAGGAGACAGTAAATATAAACATGATGAACAGTTTTAATGGAAGTGTAACCTTATACGCCCTGTGAGACCATAGACGATGGGCACCACCTGTCACCCCAATAAGGGTGAAGAAGTGGACTACCACACCTAAAAGTAAAAGCGGTAGTTAAGAGAGCAATATTTAAGAGGATAAAAGTTATTGAAAAATGATCCACAAAATGATCCATAAAAGGCGTTACACTTTAATAATTTTTTGTTAAAAAGATACTACTTTTATTGTTCAAATTGTTTTCTAAATTTCACAAGGAATCTACGTTCCTGTAGTTGGCTGTATACCATATATTAAAAAATCTATTAAAAATCCTTTGTAAAAGGTATATATTAAGAACCCAAACGGGCTAAGCTAAACAGACAAAACGTTTTCGGAATCCATATTCCATCATCAGTGTCTAAGAGTACATGAATGTAGCCACTAAATATTTGGGTAAAAACCCGTTAACAAATTATTAATTACATTTAGTTTACAAAATTTCTTATAATGATTTAAGATGTCAAAGTTATCGTTGGATTAGGTAACATGGCGACATATGAGTCCACGTTGAAGTTGCTAGTCTTGAGACAGTGTGTCTACGAAGACTGTATGGGAGCAACTGTATGGGGAGCGACTGTATGGGATTAATATCCTATATCTAGAATCTATTTTGCTGTTGACCAGTGCTTCCTCAATAGCCCATAATTCTATGCTGTCAAAAGCTTTCTCGTAGTCTATAAATGCTAAACAGATTGGTAAATTGTATTCGTTAACTTTTTCTATTAGGACCTTTAGTGTGTGAAAGTGGTCACATGTACTGAACCCTTTTCTAAATCCGGCTTGCTCTACTGGTTGATATACATCGAACTTTGTTGTCAACCTATTTGTAATTATTTTTGTGAATGTTTTATAAAGTTGTGATAGTAGTGATATTGGCCGATAATTTTTCAGATCTGTATTGTCCCCTTTTTTGTGTATTAATATTGTGTTAGCAGTATTCCATTCCTTTGGTATGTTTCCTTAAAATAGGCATTTATTAAAAAGTATTTTTAGGAACCTGATGACTTCTTCTCTGCCTTCTTTTAACATTTCTGCCAGAATTCCATCACTACCCGGTGCTTTATTTCTTTTCATTTCTTTAATTGCATTTTCTATTTCTACTTCGCTTATTTCGGGCATTACTTCAGAATTTACGTTTGTTATTTGTCTTCTCAGATTTTGCTTTGAAGAGTCGGGGGAATCGTTTCTTGAGCGGTATAACTCAGTATACCGCTCAAGATACGTTGGCCTTGTTGATTTTTTTATAGTTATACTTAATATTTTTCTTTCCTAATTTCGGTTTGGTATATTTCAGACTCCGATTTTTCTCTATCACTCTTTCTACATGTTCTTGTTGATGTTTTTTAATATCGTCTTTTATCTGTTTTCGTATGGCTCGATTAAGTTCTTTGTATTCTGTGATACTTCTTTTGTTTAGTGACAGGAGCTCTTTTCGTTGTTTCAGCATATTCTTCGATTCTGCACTTATTTTGGATTTTTTGTTGTTATAGCGGGTTGCTATCTTTAAATTATTGACTATCATTGATGAAACTGTTTTTAATTATTTTATCCGTAGAAACTAATTATAATTTTATGGCCAACTACGAAAAAACTAGGTTTTCGTAAAAGTGATAGGAGGCAAAAAAGTTTTAAAAATAATGTGTAAAACTAATAATACCACAAAATTTATTTGATTTAAACGTAGTCAAAAGTTTGGGGGAATTTAGGGCTGTACACCCCCCTTAAAATTTTTTTGTGCACTTAGATTTTGTTGTTTCTTTTGTATGGAAAATGCTTTCAGAACAAGAAAGTAACGTGTCCATTTTTATTACAAAATAACAAGTAGTTTAGTAGATATTGCAAAAAAACAATTTTTATTTTGTAACATCAAAAGGCTGTAACTTTTTTGTTTACACTTTTGTACTAGGGTAGGTTGGATTCAATATATTTTTAGAATTGGAAATAATACCAATAAGTATTAAAAATTGGAATTTGTAAGTTAATATGAAAATTATAATAAAGTTTTTATATATTTTATGAGTTTTGCGCACATAGTCCTAACGTGGATTCCTTATATGATCACTTCAATAACAAACGAACACTATTTGTATTTAATTAATATATTTCTTTATAACAAATTCTTTCATTCAAAAGACTGATATTTTTTGTACACACTTATGACAAGTCGAAAGAAAATGTAAAAAAGTATTTTTGAAGTGTGTATATTTTAGGCAATTCCTAGCTGAGCGCTTTCGGCTTTACAAAGCCATCATCAGAGCTATGGTCAATTTTTTAAATACCACTACAAAGGAGAGATCTCATTTCCTTATATTTCAAAATTATGATTTTTGTTGAAATTCTTAAAACATATAAAAAACATATAAAAAGCCGACACTGGACTTCACAAACACGTTAAAAAAAAATAAAAATTGAAAAAATTTTTTGTCATGGTACGGGTGTAAGAACCCGACCATTGTTTGATCTAAGGAGGTAGACAGAAGAAAAAAAAAAAAAAAAAAATTCAATTTTTTTTTTTTTTTTTTTTTAACGTGTTTGTGAAGTCCAGTGTCGGCTTTTTATATGTTTTTTATATGTTTTAAAAAAATTTCAACAACTAAAAAAATCATAATTTTGAAATATAAGGAAATGAGATCTCTCCTTTGTAGTGGTATTTAAAAAATTGACCATAGCTCTGATGATGGCTTTGTAAAGCCGAAAGCGCTCAGCTAGGAATTGCCTAAAATATACACACTTCAAAAATACTTTTTTACATTTTCTTTCGACTTAAATTCTTTCATATTTTGGAAAAATCAGGAGAGAGCGAACTTACCAAATAGAACAGTTTGCCACATGACTTGTAAAGTAACAAGTTTCCAAACACCAAACAGTAATAGTGTATGATAAAAAATAGCTCTAATTATATTGTACCAAACTATGTCTTGCTTGACTGGTCCTTTTCCATCTGAATAAGCTGCTTTTGGATGTTCTCGTGGAAAATTGCTTGGCAGAGGCGTTGCTTGTACAGAATCATCAGGTAAAGGAGCCATTTCAAACTGAAACTAATAAAAAAAATAAGCTAAATTAATAATACAGCGTAGGTAAAAGTTTATGGTCGGTATAGTAGAATTTACTAATGCAACAGGGGCACAGAACCCGACAAGCAGAGGAAGAATATAAACAACTACGCAAAGAATAAAAGAAAACTCACCGAAAGAAAAAAGAGAGAATACATAAACAAAGAACTTCAAGAACTATAAGAACTAAGTAAATCAGCAGAGACAAGAAAATTTTATCAGAAACTAAACAAAAGCAGAAAAGACTTTTAAACCGAGAACAACGATGTCTAGAGATAAGGAAAGTAATATATTGACAGAACAGCAAGAGATACTAAGTAGATGGATAGAACATTTTACGGAAAAGCTGACATAACATTAGACCAAGCAGACAACAGAGAAAAAACTCTACCAACAATAGCCGAGATTACAGCAGCATCTGAAGGATTAGATGCCTTTAATACATATATATATATATATATATATATATATATATAGAGAGAGAGAGAGAGAGAGAGAGAGAGAGAGAGACAGAGAGTCACTCTCTCTCTCTCATGAGTCATGAGAAACTTTACATACTTCTACCATATGTAGAGTCCCTCAGGGAGCATATCATGTGGCCACTAAAAAATGTCAACTCCTCTTCTTTATTAATTAACAGGGTGATTTGTGTTATTGGCCATTTATTTCATTTTACTGTAGTGTTTATACGGCTCATTTGATTTTTTAAATTTTTGCATGATACAGTACACTACTATCAAGCATTCGACTGGAATCGTATTAATTTAGGGATTCGTATTAAATATTACACCCTGTATGTATTTTTTTTAAATGCAATAAGTGATTTTCAAAGTATATCAATAGCCAATGAAAACGACATATGCGACAATGTTGTCGCACTTTTATTAAATTTTTAGTGAACGATCAAATCTTACCAAAAATAGAACAACCATAATGAAGTATCAAATTATAAGGTAATTAATTTAAACATATGTTATAAATTTCAAACATTTTAATTGAGATGATAAACTGAGTCACTGCACAACAAAAAACAGTAACTAACTAACAACAAAGAACAATAACTAACAATAACGAAGAACAATTTAAAAAAAAACTAAAAATATGTACATAGTTATGATAAACCCATAAATTAGAACTGGAAAAGATACAATAATGGTAACAAAACAAAAACAATTCAAAATAGATTTTTGAAATGGAATCCTGCAACCTGTACACATTTTTGTTGCTAATTTTGTTGTTAATTGACGTATTGAATTACGGATACTCTGGGGATCGTTTCTAATAGTATTACAACAATGTATAATTCTGTCAATTAATTGTTGTCGGTTACTAATATTCACTGCGTAAACTACTTGCTTTAATCGTCCCCAAATATGGTAATTACCGGGATTGAAATCAGGGGATCTCGAAGGCCATGAAATAGGACCTGCACGTCCTATCCACCTGTTGCCATAAACATTATTGAGATGTTATCTCACTGCCAGTAAAAAGTGTGGGGGTGCCCCATCATGCTGAAAATACATCTCTCGGATAGCAACGTTCGCGTTGGCAAGCAAATTCGGCAAAATATTTTGTAGAAAGTTCAAATAGACCTGCCCTGTTAAAGGACCATCAAAAAAGTGAGGACCTACTAATTGGTTATTTATGACACCAATCCACACGTTAACCGAAAACCTTAACTGAGAACGACGTTCTCGTATAGCATGGGGATTTTCTTCTGCCCACACATGTGAATTTCGTGAATTATTTATCCCGTCTGTGGTAAATTGGGCTTCATCTGTAAATAGTGTCTTGTATAGCGTTGGTCGATTATTGTTAATCCATCTACAAAATTCCAACCTATCGATCTCATCTCCAGCATGTAGTCGCTGAACCATTTGAATGTGATATGGGTATAGATTATTTTTTTGTAAGACTCTACTTACTTTTTATTGAGTAACATTGAGTTCTTACTTGTCTCGTGCTTATTGTAGAGTTCATAGTAACGGCGTCCATAATATCATCTTCCTGCGCTTCATCTACATGTCGCTCTGTTGTTCCACTAGGAAAAGTGCCTTTTTGTAGCAAATAATTAAAAACTGACCCAAATGTTGGATGACTGGGAGTTCGACGATTAGGAAATCTCCTGCGATATTCTCTACTAGCAGCCCTACCATTCCCATTTCAGAATTCATAAACAAATATTATGTGTGCATATTCTGTGGTCGAAAACTGATGTGGCATTTTGAACGAAAGTAACAAAAGCTCTGCCAAAACTAACACAATGTACTTAACGTAGATATGACAGAAGAAATATGTATTCTTGTACACATAAATAACAATTGATAATGACAAAAATGACAATGGGCATAAAATATCAAGAAACGTCAAACGGTCAACGCCAACCTTCATTTTAAACTTTTTTAGATTTATTTTTATTTAGTACAGTTGATGCAATGTATTATTATTTGACATAAAATTTTAATCATTTACAATCAACAAAAACTAACACATACAAGAGGTTTGACTTTTTAATCAATTTAATTTATTATTTATCGAAAATAATGCCCCAATACGATATATGAGTAAAAATTTAAAATTGAAAAACAATTGATTCTATCGTAGAGATAATACAAAGTGACAGTAAATATGTTAATTTTCTACGTATTATATTATATTGTAGGAACTCATTTTAATTAAAATGTTTGAAATTTATAACATTTGTTTAAATTAATACCTTATAATTTAATACTTCATTATGGTTGTTCTATTTTTGGTAAGATTTGATCGTTTACTAAAAATTTAATAAAAGTGCGACAACATTGTCGCACATGTATTTTTCATTGGCTATTTATGTAGTTTGAAAATCACTTATTGCATTTAAAAAAAATATATATATACAGAGTGTAATATTTAATATGAATCCCTAAATTAATTTTCCCAAAGCCAGTCCTGGAATTTTTTAGTTTAGCTAATACCAGTCGAATGCTTGATAGTAGTGTACTGTTTCATGCAAAAATTAAAAAAATCAAATGAGCCGTATAAACACTACAGTGAAATGAAATAAATGGTCAATTACACAAATCACCCTGTTAATTAATAAAGAAGAGGAGTTGACAATTTTTAGTGGCCACATGATATGCTCCCTAAAGGGACTCTATATATGGTAGAAGTATCAAGGTATTGCCCTCACATTTTATCGAGGCTTAGGACTAAAATATCTTAAGTAAAATAATAAATACTAATATAATGTTGATTCAAGATTTCTATTATTGAAACAGGTTAGATTCCATATTATCAGAATTATGTATGGGATTAGAAAAACCCAAGTACCAGCCCAGTAAGGGGTCTAATGAGGGTTTAACGCGAACCGGAAGGTTGGTAAATTCCGCAGGTAATGTTAAAATGTAAAAAGAAACGATTAGTAAGAAAATAAAACTGTAATTGTTTGATAATTGTTTTTAAGAAATGAATATTACAAAAAGTCCGATATAACAAAACATCATTAACCAAATTGTTTATATAGGGGAAACTTGTCGCGGTAGGTAATTTATTCTGTTCTTAACAAGAAAACATTTTACAAATTGATATCAGTCTGTTAAGATGGTGTTAGCGTTTGTGAAAAGCCAAAAAGGCAACAACTTGTTACTTTATAATGGATTTCTCCATAAAAAAGAGCGGGTGATTGGTGAAAAGACAATTTGGAAGTGTGCTAGTTATAATAAGTGCAAATGTACATAAAGAGTGCATACCGTTGTGGATGAAATTACAAAATCCACAGAACATAATCACGTTGCAGACACGGCAAAGATTGAAGCAAAAAAAGCTTGTAACCGGATGAAAGAAGTTGTACAACAACTGGAACACTCCACCCAAGGTGTAGTAAGTGAAATTTCTCAAGGACTTTTCTTAGCTGCTACTGCACAACTTCCATCAGTGTCGTCGTTAAAAAAAACTGTGTAAAGAGTTCGGAATGAGCTAGGAGGTACGCCCGCAAATCCGAGAAATTTAGAAGAACTTGTGCTTCCTGAAGAATATAAAACAACTACAGGCGGTGAGCTATTTCTATTATTTGATAGCAGGCCAAAAGAAGAACGTATTTTGTTATTTTTAACACAAAGAAATATAAGATTTATGGAACAATGCGATCATTGGTATGCCGATGGAACATTTAACTCAGCACCACCATTGTTTGCTCAAATATACACAATTCACGGAGTGCGATACAGTAATGTAATCCCGACTGTATTTGCACTTCTAACGAACAAAACACAAGAGACTTATACACGTGTTTTTCAGCAACTAAAGGTGTTGAATCCGGCCTTGCGCCCTGTAACAATAATGATGGACTTTGAAAAAGCGGCAATAAATGCTGCACAAACTGAGTTCCCAAATGTGAGAATCCGCGGATGTTTTTTTTCATTTCTGGCAGTGTAGGTGGCGCCATATTCAAAGTGACGGATTGCAACGTATTGAGAATCCTGACTTCGCCCTTCACCTAAGACAATTGGCAGCTCTTGCGTTTGTTCCAGACAACCATGTAGTCATAGTGTACGAGGAGTTGCTCAATAGCGATTTTTATACACAAAATGAAGAACTACTAGTGCCGCTGATTAATTACTTTGAAGACACTTGGATAGGGAGATTAGCTAGAAGAGGAAATCGAAGACAACCCCTTTTTCCAGCAAATTTATGTAATTGTTACGATTTGGCAAACCAAGATATACCTCGAACTAATAATGCTGTCGAAGGATGGCACAACAGCTTTTCTTCTCTTCTCAATAGTGCACATCCGAATATTTGGAAATTTATTAATTCTCTAAAAAAATAATATGATTTAAATGTTTTGAAAATAGAACAGTACATTTCGGGCAATGTACCTCCACGCAAAAGAAAATATCAGATACAGCAAACAGGATAAGGGCTATTGTTGCCGATTATGCTGACAGGTCAACTTTAGAATATTTGAGAGGCATTGCTCACAATTTTCAGTTGCAAACATAAAAAAAACAAAAAAAATTAATATCAAAAACAAAACAAAAAAAAATAAAATGACAAAAAATTCCAAAAAAAGCAAAAAATTAAAAAAAAACTTGTAAACACGCCAGATTCTGCTGCCAGTCCTAAGCCGGATAAAGTGTGAAGGCAAGTTTTTTTCATATAAATATTTTTCACTTTTTACTTTTACCGTAACCGATTTTAGGTTAGGTAGAATCATTTTCTGTAATTATATATGGGGGATAAACGGGGGTAATTGCTATTGTCAATTAAAATAAACTATTAATAGTAAATCATTAATAATATGCGTCCTTTTTTCCACGCGTCCTTTTTCCACGCGTCCTTTTTTCGCGCGTCCTTTTTTCCGCGTCCTTTTTTATGTGTCCTTTTTTCCGCGTCCTTTTGTCGGTATACCAAAAACAATACATAAAATGACAACAAAGATATGGTCGAATAAACAGCTCCAAGTGGAGTGGAATAGCGGTATTATTGTACCATTACATAAAAAAGGAAATCAGTTAGAATGTGGAAACTTCCGTGGAACCACGCTGCTGAGTGCAGCATACAAAATAATGACCAACGTCATTAATGAAAGACTTAGACCACACGCTGAAAAAATAGTTGGCAAATACAAAAGTGGCTTCTGTAGACAGAAGTCAACAATGGACCAGATATTTGTTCTGCTACAGATCCTCGAAAAAACAAGTGAATATAACATCGGCACACATCATCTCTTCACAGACATTCAAAGCGCATATGACAATATTAACCGAGAATTCTTAATAAATGCAATGAAAAAATGTAATATACCAACTAATAGAACTGATAAAAGAATCTCTAAAAGTAGAAAGTAAAATACGGATACAAAATGAATTAACGGAAACAATATGTGAAATATGTGAAAAAGGGACTACGCAAGGGAGACGCTCTATCATGCATCTTGTTCAACATCTTACTCGAGAAAATACTAAGGAACACAACAGTAAATTCTCGAGAACAATCATTAATAAAAACGTGCAAATACTAGCATTTGCAGATAATGTTAACATAATCACAAGATCAAGAAGAGAAATGATAGAGGCTTACAACCAAATAGAACGAGCTGAACAAAATAGTGGTCTTGAAATCAATTAATTGCTTTTTGCAAATATTTCCGTAAATTATTTATCAATTTTTATTCAAAAAAACGGGAAAATAAAGATATTCTTGAAATAAAAAAATAATATAAATATTGTTTATATAAAATGTAAGGGAAAAAACTTATAGACAAAAAATCAAATTGTGACCATATGAAAGCCCCATTTGATTATGGTAATAACCCTGAGTCTTCAAGAAATCAAATAGACTATATACTTGTAAATGAGCATTTCAGAAATGCCGTCTGGGGCAGATATTGAATCTGATCATCAATCACTCGTAGCAAATATTAAACTATAAAGTTAAAACGAATTCAGCGATAAAAACCAAAAACCAATGTACTTAACTTTGACGATATAAACATAAAACATAATATTAAAAAAGAATTTAACAATAGAATAAAAAACATCGAAGAACAACTAGAAGATCCAGAAGAACTATGGAATGAATTTAAAAACCAAGTTAATGAAATCTCAATCAGACTTTTCTACTTTGATGTCAGATGGTTTATATATAGACACAAAAGAGATATTAATTTTGTTAATTAAGACTGCACACACTTCTATTCCGGTATTAAAATTATAGTTAATATTAATTATTTGATAATCAATGCCCTTTAGTATGAAAATGCCTATACCGCCATAGCCACTTTCACGGCATTTTGAAACAAAATTATACCCTTTTAATTTGAAATCCATTTGGTTTTTCAACCAAGTTTCGGATAAAATAATAATATCCACATGAGAATTATTAATATAATTTA